CGTAGGGGGATGCGTGTGTATTGCTGTATTTGTGTGTGTGTATGTTGATCACTGTGTTACGTAGGGGGATGCGTGTGTATGTGTATTGCTGTATTGCATGTGTGTATTTCTCCTAACAGTGTTGTCTTCTTTTAGGACAACTACACTTTTGCTCAGCCTGGGATTCAAATGAAAGTGAAGCTGCTGGAGGGACTTGTGAGCAGGATTGATGGTAAGCCAGCGTCACTGCTGCCCCTCCCGGGGCCAGGCAGCTTGGGGAGAATGCAGAAGAAGCTTCCGCAGGTGACCTCTGCCCAGAGGTGCCCAAGGGTGCCCATGGGCTGACAGGAAGTGCCCTTCTCAGGCAGGCAGGGGTAGGGGTGGTCCTTTGCTTGCTGTGAAGCCATGACGATCAGAATTGAGCATGGCCGCATCACAGGGCTGGAAGAGGTGGTCAGCTTTCCCCTAGAGGCTGTTCTGAGCAGCCTGGCTCCAGTGGCCTGTCCTCGGGCATCCTGTCTCTGGCCATGGGCAGCAGGCTGTTGGGGTAATTTTCTGTGCTGATGTTGCTGTGTGACTTCGAATTGGCACCAACCCACAGCTGACCCTCCAGCGGATTTTTAGAGGCGGAGGAAATTTCTCATTCTTTCCCCACGGAGCTGCTGGTGGGATTTGAACCACGTGCCTTTGGGATTGCAGTGCGGTTTATCCCTAGACCACCAGAGCACCAGGTCTGGAATAATCTCTCTCGTATTATAACAAATGGTGGTGTGTGCCTGGACTGTTTCCAGCCATCCTCTCATGTTTAAGTGGGGCTTTGACTGTTCTCTTCAGCCTGAAAACTGTCCCCTCCTAAGTGCGGTCTGTCGCAGTACAAGAATGGGGCTTCATTGAGTGGCAGGTGCGGGACGTGTGGTCCTGATGGCTGGGTGAATGAATGTGACAGCAGTGCCAAGCAGAAGCGGGCATTTCGGACACTGGCAGGGCACGGTGAACTCTCCAGTGCTTTTTCAGAGACTGCAAATCTCACGGGAATAGGTTTCCCATCTTTCTCCTGTAGAGCAGCTAGTGGATTTGAACTGCACACCTTTGGGTTGGCCCCCCAGTTCCTTACCACTAAGCCACCAGCGCTCCCTGGTCAGTGGAGACACAGTAGAGGCAGATGTGCTTTGCAGACCAGTGCTGGCGAGCTGGTGAGCGGCTGCCCAGCTGCCCAGCGCGTGCCCTTTGTTTAGCGTCCACACATTTCCACACATGGTTCCTGTTGGTCTCTGGATGTCGGCGGGCTGCCGGGTCTCCCCCCTCCTGTGGGGGAACTATAAAAGCCATCTTCACGGCACGGTGGCACTTGGCTTCGAAGCTCTTGAATGACATTGTAAAGCGGCGTCATACAAATTATCAACTCCACTCTGTTCCTTGATTGAATCTGATTTCCAGCGCCGTGTCTAATGGTTATGGCCTAATTTCCCTGTTAGGAAGTTTCCCACAGTTCAGTCATACGTTCTCGTTCTTTGATTCAGTGTTGTGTGTGGCTGCCTGCCGCCCAGCCCATCCTGTGGAGCCCTGGTTCTGCTCAGCCAAGGGCCTTTCTCCGCCTTGATTGTCTGCTGGCTGCTGCCGGCCTCGTCCAGGGCTTTGAAATACGACATGGAGGAGACGTGCACGATGCCCCTGGAGCAGGCCTTCGTGCCACCACGTCCTGCGAAGGCAGGTTTATGCCTCGGAGGCAGCTGGGCTGGTGGTGAGTGTTCATTTACAGCACTGCGGTCAGCGTGATCCGGGGGCTGGTTTCCGCGGGTGCCAGCCGAGGCCAGGCTGCAGGGTGGCTGTGTAACGAGGGGCAGGTGCGGCCCCAGGAAGCCACCACGTGGGCTTCTGCATAAATCGCGCGCTCTCTGCCCTATCGGAAGGGGCCGCTCTGCACACCCAGGGGGCATGGTGGATGGGATAGGCTGAGCCATGCCCTCTGCTTATTACCTTCTCCTCGTGGGCCTGTGGGTGGCCTCACAGTGAAGATGCCCACCTGGCTACTCAGAGCCGGACCGTACTGCACTGGGCACCCCATGTGGGAGTGTCTGCCTGCAGGAATCCTCGATGGGCTGCAGTCCCCGCTCCCATCCTCACATTAGCACTCACCTCTTGGAGGGAAAAATTGTGAGCTTGGAACTTTTGCAGTGACTGTAAAGATTTTATTAAGGGCAGGATAGACTAGGGAAAGGAAAATTGCTTTTTTAAAAAGCTGCTGCCTCATCCTGCATTTTAGGGAAGGACAGCATTTATTTCAGGGAAAAAAAATGTGTCACTTTGGTGAAGAGGAACACCTTCCTGGACTCTTTGATGAAGAAGAGTGAGGTTTTGGGAGCGCTACTGGGCTGGGAGCTCTGCTTGGCTAGGAGCTGGGAGCACCACGTGGCTGGGAGCTTGGAGTGCTGCCTGTCTGGGAGCACTCCCTAGCTGGGAGGATTGCCTGACTGGAAGCTGGGAGCGCTGCCTGTCTGGGAGCACTGCCTGACTGGAAGCTGGGAGCGCTGCCTGGCTTGGAGCTGGGAGTGCTTCCTGGCTGGGAGCATTGCATTTTTGGGAGCACTGCCTGGCTGGGAGCTGGGAGCACTTCCTGATTTGGAGCACTGCCTGGCTGGGAGTGCTGCAAGAGTGAGCGTTGGCTCTGCAGGGTGGGAGGTGGGAGCTCATCGTCCCAGCGGATGTGGATGCGAGCGTGTGCAGGAGTCGGGGGAAGGGGTTTGGTGGAGGACACAGCAGGGCAGGAGAGCCAGCTGGAGGGTCAGAGGAGAAGCACTGAGACCTGCCCTCTGGGGGTGAGGAGTGACCTTGACTTTCTGGGAAGCACCTGTAAGTCATCGCCTCCTCTGTGAGTGATGTGAGGCCCCTCTCTTCAGCTCCCACGCCTTGCGTTCACATGTGTTACACGGACAGCGAGGAGGCTGAGAGGAGGAGGTTTGCAGCCACAGTGGAAGGCGAGTAGAGAAGAAGGTCGCAGCAGTGCCGGCGATGAGCCAGGGGTGAGCTGGGCCCGATTAGATATACAGAGACACAGCCATTGATTTATGAGTAGGATGGATCTCAGGAAATGGTGGGGTTGTTGTCAGGTGCTGGTGCGTCTAGTCCCAATCCTGGGGACCCTGTGAAAGCAGATTGAGCCTGGACCGTCCTGCACTTCCTCATCATTTCTGACGCTTGAGCCCAGTGCTGCGGACACCGGTCTGTCTCCGTGAGCGGTAATTCCAACCACATTTTCCACTGAAGAGTAAAAGCACTAGGATAAGTAACATTAAGAACAGACAAAGGCCCACAGACAAACATGAAGGAGAACTACTTTCTTAAAAGCTCTGATGAGCTAACAGTAAATGAAGGGTGACTCAGATCAGAACTGAGCAGGAGACCAGAACCTAGGAAGATAAACCCAGCACCCGGAGTCACTGTAGTTCTGTGGGCATTTGCTCCTCTAGAAGTCACCCCGACGTGAGCTGAGGTTGTGACAAGTGTGTCAGAAGTCTGAGAAGGACTGTCTACAAAGAATGACACGTCAGCAAGTAAGAAGTGAAACAGTTCTCAGATGGTGGTGTTGGCATTGCCTGGGAGAAGCTGGATTGTTTGACACTTGACTCTCAAGGTGATTTTATACTGTTGTTGTTGTTGTTAGGTGCTTTTGAGTGGGAACCAACCCATAGCTGACCCTCCAGCGGGTTTTCAGAGACTGTCAATCACATGGGAACAGATTGCTCATGCTTCTCCAGTATTTTATAATGAAGGACCTCAAAATGGGGGGAGTGAAACATCATTTCTAGAGGAAAAGATCAGAACTAAATCATATAAATACTTTTCAAATAAAATGATCTATACAGACTGAAAGAACATTTAAAATTTCCAAAACTCATTGAGTGAGAGTAAAGAGAAATAATACATAACAGGGAAAAGTTCCACCAACACCCCTTGAGATTCCATCATTCTTGGACTGTGAACTCCAAACCCTCATCCCTGTCTGCAGAGCGGATTTAAAAAAAAATTTTTTTTTAACTATTTCAGAGGAAATTGTTATTGTGAAAAGATCAAGAACTGAAAGTATATGGGAACATCTTTGAAAGAGGAAAACAAAAGATGAAAGTCATAGCATTTTAACCAGTGAAAATTTATTTCCAAACCAACCAGAAGGCGGCGGAAGCTATGATCGCCCCCTGTCTCGATGGAGACCCTTAGATACACTTACAGATGAAGAGACACAAGACATAAGCAACCTTCAGATAGTAAAAGGAAACAGTGTAGAACTGCTATAATCCCAAGTTGTTTAATAAGAAGTGACCAATCTCTCAGCAAAGAAATGGAAGGAAAGCCCAAATTAGAATAGAAATGAAGATACATTTACAGAGTACCCAGGGTAGAATAAATATCACTAAAAATCCAATAAAGGATACTGAGGAAAGTTTTGACAACATACAAGAGAACAAAAATTAAGCAAAAGAGATCAGAGAAGAAAATCCAATGTATATATAATTGGGTTCCCGGAGGAAAAAGAATAGACTGAAATTTATATGTAGAATTATAATGTAAGGAGGCTTTGTAGAAATAGATGAAGACGTAGTTTACATAGGGAGAGTGCCTGCCTACCCGTGCCTGGGAACGTTTACTCAGAATAAGGAGTGCTGGAAAGATGTTGTTGAGTTGATTTCCGTCACGGGGACGACGTGTGACAGGGTAGACCTGACCTGATGGTTTTCATGACTGTCGTCTGTGTGGAAACAGATTTCAGCTTTTCCTCCCACGGAGCTGCTGTGTGGGTTTGAACCACCAGCCTTTTGTTTAGAGATATGTCCTTCACCACTGTCCCACCAAAGACCCTTACACCAGCGCAGCAACTCAATCTCAGCTCATTGCCATGGAGTTAGAAGAGACTCATAGCTGATCTTCCAGCAGGTTTTCAGAGACGGTCAGTTGCACAGGAGAAGATTGCCCATCTTTGCCCCATCGAGCAGCAGTGGATTTAAACTGCACACCTTTGGACTGGCAGGGTGACTCCTTACTCACTAGGCTGCCAGAGCTCACTGGTACACCAGCACATAGCCTAGCACAACTGATTAGACTTCTGAGATTAAAAAAAGACGTTCTTAAGGATTCCAGCAAAAAGGACCGTGTTAAAAGGTGAGGGAGGAGATCAGTACAGCATCCCCGTCCTTGATTATTAGGAGCACGATAAAAGGCTACGGCGAGAAGAAAACA